CCAGCGTGTATATAACGACAACATAAAAAGACATGGCAGTACCCTCACTAATCAACTTCCCCATCACCACCAGGACACGGGTCCCAAACCCGCCATTTGCATCGAGCCCTGAGATTTTCAATTAGCCAAACTAGAGTTCACCGGAAATCGAAACATGAGGCACATACTATGATGGAGTAGGGAGGCTTTCTTTCAATGGTTGCGCCGTCTCCTAGATCTGGGGCATTGGGAATCTGATCATGCCATTCCTCCATCTCAACTCTAAAGCGGACAATTTCTCCTATGTCGAAGTAGAATGTTGAGCCATCTTCATTCTCCCAAACCCACACCTGATCGGCAATGTCACTGTTCCCTGTTCAGCCAATATGTACTTGCGACAGTCTGGAGAAAGACGGTTACTTACAATCGAGCACCGTCCAACAGAAGATCCGGGGGAATGAGAATGTCATTGAAGAATTCTACACCAACTACTTCATGTATTAGCATGAGTATAGTGACCACGAGCTTGAGGCAGTTGCGTACTCTTAATCCCTTGTTGAGTAGCACTGGAGATCTTGCCTAGTAGGATTTCTCCTTTGAACGGCCGGAAGACGATGAGCCGGAATTTCACTATAAAGAATAAGTAAAGCAGTTATCTTCGGCCGGAAAATGCTTCCAGACATACCGTTTACATTGACCAAACCAGTGCCATGGCCTATTAAACCATCCGACGATTCTAACAAGTCATAGAATCCAATGCAAAGGCCAATTTTTTGAATGACCTGCACAAGCGAACCATGTCAGTCAAGGCGACTGCCACCTCGTTCAGAGTGACTTCGTCGTACTTTATTTGCATACTTTTCGTTGATATTGTCCTCGATCGCGACAGCGCTGTACTTGGAGAAGTCTTCAGGAGAGATCTGGATGAGATCTGAGACGGTTGTCTGCCTCGCTGCAGTCAGCTTGTCTGTTCATGACAAGATAAATTAAAATTGATCAAGGACGTCTCTCAACTGACAAGAATGAACATTTCGAATATGTTACAGGGGAACGAGCTATCGCATGAGCAATGATCAGGATAGGTAGTAGTTTCTATTTCCACACAGTCGCAGAGAGGATTAGCGGCAAGACAAAACTTGCATTCTAACCATGTAGGACGCTGTAACGGCCCCTTCTAAATTATGTTTCCAGTAATCACAGATTCATGACATTATAAAAGTGTATTTGAATCTGCAACAAGAGAAGTTCAAAAAGATCAATCGCGAATCGCCTCGACCAATCGCAGGTTGCGGATCCTGCCTGGTTTCTCTTGAATTTTTCCTCCTGCGTCTGATAGCCAGAATCTAGCACGTGACTTCTCCACTGTTCCTTACTCGGGCTTTACAGTGACAGTTCGGTTCTCGGAACGGAACAACAACGTTGGAGCTTCGGTCCTAAAGAAGCGATCAGAAGTGATCGGAGGTTTTCTCAGGTCTCCGGGATGGCGTGAGAGGATGGCATCGATGCTGTCACTCATTTGAGGGCCTGCAGAGATCTTCCCGCAATGAGCTCCCAGGGATTCTCATTTCCTCCACCACCTCCTCCTCCCCCTCCTTCTCAGCAACAGCAGCAACATCCGTCGGCTTTTCCGTCCGGGCCTCCACAGTACGGTTACGGTTCTTATGGTCAGCGAGGTGGGCGAGGCGCTGGGGGGCACAACAGAGGTCGTGGCAGAGGGTTTGGGAATCGAGGAGGTCGGGGAGGCTCCTTTGTTCCCCACCATGCCAACCATACCCCGACGTATTCCTCTACTACGCCGTCTTCTTTCGGCTATGGGTCGATAAACTATACCGGGTTTACACCTCCATCTCAGCCTACTGTCGCTCGCAATATTCCGTCGCCCCAGATTGCGTCTTCTTTAGGGTCCCCAGGTTTCCAACACCAGTCCAATACATCCTCGTATGCTTCCGCGCAACACTTTTCGCAGCCGCCAGCCGTTCTCGGATCTCCATATCAGCCACAATCCGGTTATGATGCCTCTTACGCCCCCCCAAATACGCAATCGGGTCCTCCATACCCTTCTGTCGTGCACTCAACTCAACATATCCCTCAACCCGTACAAGCACCGATGATGAGTCCTCCAATGCGTTGGGGGTTTGAGACGTCACCACCTACAGGAGCATTTGCTAGTCCTCGGCGTAGCAATCAATGGGCGCCGCGGCAATCTAGCACACACCAGAACCAATCTTTTGGTGGAAACTCAATGAAATATGGCGGAAAGCGGGATCATGCGTCGGCATTTGGAGGAAAACCGCAAGCAGTTGCACCTCGCGTTCCCGCACCGCCTCCAGTCCCAAGCTTCGGTAACCCTCTGCCTGTAAAGCCTCCCCCGGCAGTCGATACTGCACTAAACCCGAGAAAAAAGAAACGAAAACACAACCAGTTGGGGCTCACGCCCAGAACCGAGGATCATGAATCGAGTGAGGAGGACGACTTGGATGAAGAATCGAAGTTGGCGCCAGCTGCTGCTGGTGCTACAGCGCCTTTGCGATTCACCTATAAAGGACGGACGTCTACTCTTCAGTCACCCACAGACGTTGCCGCATGGATTGAGGAACGGAAGAAACGATTTCCGACGCAAGCAAAGGTTGAAGAGAAGAAAAAGGCCATGGGTGAGGCTAAGAAAGCCCGTGAAGAAGCTCTGAACAAGAAAAAGATTGAGAGGCAGGAGCAAAGGCAAACCCAGAAGGTCGCCAATAATAAGCCAGAGAGCGTCATTGATCCGGCGGATGCAGCTGCCAAGGCGAAACGAAAAGCTGACAAGCTTCAACGCAAGCTGCTGAAGGAGCAGGAACGGGTAGCGAAAGCGGAGGCGGATGCCGAGCGGGCTCGGCTCAAAGTTGAAAAGCTGCAAAAGGTGGCCATGGAGGCGCGAAGAGGGTCAGAGTCCGCCACGCAGAAAACTGAATCTCAAGCTTCCGTCGCTGCAGAAAAGGCGGACACAGAATCTGCTCAGAAAGTGCAGATAGTCAGCTCCAAGGACAACGACTCGGAGACTGTGGCTGTCCCTGACGAGAGTTCTGTCGCATCCATGGCCTGTGGGACAATGGTAACAAAGACGGAACCCGGTGACCCAAGAGAGAGTCGAAACGAGGAATCCGCCGCGTCATCCTCCGATGACTCAGACAGCACCGACTGGACATCGTCAAGCGGACCTGGAATATCCTCGGATTCCGACGAGAGCGATGATGATTCGGCCCCCGAGGAAGCGTCTTCTCGCCGTGAGGGGCCGGAGCGGGTAGCACCACCGCCTCGAGTAAATAAGAAGAAAGTGTGTCGCCATTTCGCCCGCAATGGACGCTGCTTGCACGGGGAGAAATGCCATTTTCTACATGAGTTGCCTGAACGAGGCGCCAAAGCAAAACCTGTAGAGAAGAAAGGACGGAGGGGACTCTTCCAAGCCGTAAGTATCCTCGGACTTTAGCAAAGAAGGAAAAGGACCTTCTTTCGCCTATTCAAACGCTAACGCGCAAATTACTAGCTGGTCGAACGTCAGAAAGAGGACGAGGATCGGAGAGCGATGGAAGTAATTGTATGGCTGGGAGAGAACGGATTTCTCGATGCGCCAGAGGCCGAGGAAAGGGCGACTGGACACTCTCATACTGATGGGAACAAAGATGAGGACCAGGAACCTCAGGAGGCGAAACATATAGTTGCTGCTGCTTAGGTGCTGAACAGACATGTTACTATATAACATCGGCGCCATGTACATAAAATCCGCATACGTACTAGCTTCAGAACCAAATAGAGCCCTGGGCTGTCAGACGGCAGACCTGAAAGTTGACCAAAGCCAAGTCTATTGACTATTCCTGGTCCCTAAGCTATTCCCTCTCAGCGGTATGCCTCATGGACGCATCCTCACCACTTCGCAACTCTCTCTGTTTGGCTGTCGTACTTAAAGTCATAATACGGAAAGGTTTCATATCCGTACCGTAAGATACCTTAGCCTGGAACTTCCATTTAGATACCAAAACTTATAGCGCGATGATCATTTGGTTAAACAGCTTGGTCGCACAAGGTTACCTACCTACAAGTAACAGGCATGCATCTGGATGCTGTGAAGAAACATTTTTGTATATTTTCTATGCTACATTTAAAGTCACCACAGGAATTAAGAAGTAGAAGATCACTCAAGGGTTTGGGTTTTCTAGTGCTTGTATCTCCTACAGGATAACCAGAGCTAGACAATCATAATTCACTCATCTTCTGTGAATCAGAGGTTAAGGTAAGTTCCTCCGCTTCCCAAAGACCCTTGAAATTCCCATGGCTCATTGCCACTGATAGGCATCTACGGTAGTTTTATCTTCTTTTAGTCTTTGCGACCTTAGCGTCAACTAGCTGGGGCCCCGACCGGGCCTTCGTCGGCATTACTGACCTACTTATTTGGCTAAGCGAATGACTACCACTGACTTGGGCTAGCTGAACAAACGCCTTTTCCTAGCGAGGGAGGGACTAAGTCTGACTGGGATTAGCCTCCTCGATGGCGTTATTGCCCATTTATTCTGTTTTTGCCTCTTCCAGTCGGGGCGCTGTGAACTTATGGTTGATTAGACCGTCCTATTGGCTCTTCCTTGGGGGCGCCTGACTCGTGGCTTCCTAACTACCGTACTGGCGCGAAATCTCAATCCTTCCAACCTTAGCTTACCGAGATGAGCTGAACTAGGTTCCTTGGGCGTAGGTTTCTCTTAGCCTAGCTCTTCCGGTTATTATTGCTCGCTCCTATTCCACTTCTCACCCTCTTCTCCTCTTTCTTCCCTTTTTCTCCTTACTCCCTCCAGCCGGATCGTTGCATCATACTCATCTTTCTGTCTGTCTTTAACCCCCAGTCAGAGTCCATTCCTTTCGTTGAATACGTATACTCTAATTCACAATCCCTTCATTACAATCTTCTGGAATAGTTTATCTCATCCCCCGCTTTGTTACCTCTTTTCGGGAATCTATATATAATAGCGTCATCAACAAAAGTCTATACTTTGGTCAACATGCGTTCCATCATCTTCCTGTCTCTCAGCGCCCTCGCGGCCATCGCAGTTGCAGCTACCAATACGAATCCTTTCAACATCCCTGCCAGTGGTTACCAGTTCACGGCTGGTGAACCCACTACTCTGTCCTGGGATCCTACCACCAGTGGAACCGTCACTCTCAAGCTTCAATGGGGCGACGTTTTCACTGCTAGCTCTGGCTCAACCATTGTCTGTAAGTGACTCGGATTGAAACGAGTCTGGAGCTCTGCGCATCTGCTGACGTACCCTAGCAAGCATTCCCAATTCCGGAAGCTACACCTGGAATGTTCCTTCTGACATTGCTGCTCGGCCTGATTACACCGTTGAGATCGTTTCCGATGAGGACACCTCCGAAACCAACTACTTGACCCGTTTCACAGTTGCAGGAGCTACTGGTATCGCGTCGAGCTCCACGGCTACTGCCACTACCACTAAGACCGCCTCTACCACGTCTATCACGACCACTACTAGCGGAACTCCTTCCATGACCACTGTGACCTCGACCACTGCTTCTCCCTCCAGCAGCCCTTCGACCACCAGCAGCCCGTCTACCACTGAAACTTCGACGACTACCACCCGGGCTTCTCACACGAGCTCCGCCACTACCTCGGCTACTTCGGTCCCCAACGCCAATGGAGGTGTCATCAACCGGATCTCCGGTGGCATGATGGCACTCGTCATGGGTGTGATTGCATTCATGTAAGCAGTCTGGCGGTGAGTCACACCGCTGCGATCGGGCTCGATACACTCGAATATATAGCTTTTGGCGTGTCCTTTTTCTTTTTCCTTTGCACTTGCTTGGGCTCGAATATGGTTGGATTACCGTTTTTGGGTATCTACAGTTTGTTCTTGGCCTGCGGGTGGAAAAGGTGTAACATCCTTTTTTCGTGTCCGATTTTCTCTATTCCTCTTGGGCATATGATCGCGTAACCTAATGGTCATTATTCGTTGTTGGGACCAAGGACTCTCGTCTGTTCGGGCACACTTTTTGTATGGTATGTAGATATGTTTACATTGTAATGAATGACTTGCTTTGGCCTGCAGGAGAATGCGAGTAAACAATAGGGTTTTGTAAAAATTAACTGCATATTCTATGGTTTTAGGCCTTCTGGCCCGTTAAAGAGCATGAGGCTCTGTAGCCGACGATCTGCTGGAACTACTAGTATGAGTCGAAGATAACGCGGGGAATCGTTCCATAGTCTGTTGCAGTTGTACGGAGTAAGCCCAACACATTTCCGAATCGAACTAATGGTTTCGAATGTCCGATTTTCATTTGTTTTCTGTCACAGCGATACACCATCGGATGGCTGTGGGCCTCTAGGTAGCCGAAATGACCGTTAGCAGAGTGGACATAGTAATGTGGCTCGGCAATTGAATTGCATTTACAGCCTCGGGCTGAAATTACGAGAATTTCCTTCTGGAGTATGGCAGAGCTAATCCCTAATTACATTACGATCCAAATCATAGCGAACTATTATGGCCTATGGCATGAGCTGATCTTCTGTCAGCCATTACCTAGGTACCCACTACTCCGTACGTCAACGGGCTATACGGGCTTAAAACATGGATATCTGCTGAGGCCATGAGTCTAGTCTATAGTCTGGCAGATTTTGAGTATCTTGGTGAGATTCTGATTCAGGCACTATGCATAAGTAGGGAACCACGTAGCTACTGTAGATGTGCCTACATTATGCATGTAAGACTTACGCTTACGGGAGTAAGGTAGGGTGGTGTATCGACACGATGTATTTTTACTTGGATTGTATATTACCATACGGTTCGTACTGAAAGTACCTATCTCGAACCGAACCTTTCTCTGACATCGATGACTGAGGGCTTGAGGGTTCGAATGATGCAAGAAGCCTGAAGGGATTCTTTGGGCTAGAGAGGAACGGACATGCGCCTGTAATATCTTGTCGTGCATTGTGACTGGATACCTGGTAGACTAGCCTGCACGTTACCTACATACGTCGTCCTACGAGGCTCAGCACGTGGAGATGACCTGCAACATGCCATGCTCCGTTCTTACTCATCAAGCGGCTAGGGGCTTTGAGCTTATTGTTTATCAATTCTGATTAACATTAAGAATGCTAATGATGTCACTAACAACACTGTACGAGCACAGCTCCCACAGTGATCTCTGATGAACCTGAAACAGGAAGATAAACTGATTGGATAAAGCGGGTCCGAAAGGAACATGGCATCATCCGTCATGCAGACTGAAGAGAGAAAAAAGAAAAGGCAGATTTACGCGGCAACCCATTGAGGACACGCTCGCTTGATGAACTTCATGAACTTGAAGAACCCGACGGCATACTCGACATTACCGTGAGGATCAACTGTTCGCTCTGGAAAGGCTATACCAGCACCATATAAGCCCTTAACGAGACGTCCACGTTGATCGTAGAATCCTCCGGTTTCATGATCAAAGTCCGGCTCCAATGGCGAACCATTCACAGAAAGCTCTGGCAGCGGATCCCGAGTGAAGCCAATGGCCTGAACAATGTGAGTGCAGAAGGGTAACTGCAGCTTAAACTGTGCCATCTCTTTACCACTGCTGCAGTCGACCTTGGTGATGAAACGGCCTGCCTCGGAGGTCGGTAAAACTTCATCTTCGAGCTGCTGGCGGGCAAAGTCCGCAGCGAGACCCTTGAGACCGGTGTTATCTCGGAGGATCCAGCCGTCCATGTACTCGGCATACCGAAGAGGATGCCGGGTAAACCACTTGACGCGGAGCTGGGGATGAGAACTGCGGGCCAAGTCTACCAGGTTGAGCAGAGCCAGAATGGCACTATGCGAAGCCCCTACGACGGCGATGGTCGAGGGCGTGTTTCGCGGAAGGTACGAGGCGAGTTCGCTGGGCTTCAAAACAGTGTCGAGGTCCAGCCTCTGAATGTTGTGCCCAGGAACAGGGATCGGAGCGGTCGTCGGTGACGACCCCGTACACAGGATGAGTTTAGGTGTCTCAACTTCAAACTCGTCAGACGATCCGTGACTTTTGATCCGTACTGTCCAGGAAGAAGTCTATGGAACGGGGAAACGAAAAGCATTAGCAATCTATCCGGTTTCTCTCTCATGTTGCCCTCCTGTGGTAGTCCAATGTGGAATCTCAAACTAACCTTTTCCGCCAGCTTGGCAGCAACGACGTAACCCTTGCATTGAACAACCCGATCCAATTTCACAACGCCCTCCGTTAGGGCCTGAACCATGTCTGCACCATGCTGCAACAGACATGTTTGATCTTGGTCAAGTTTCGCTAGTGTCGTGAAAGCATTTGGCAAGCGTGTACTACTGATGACTGCACGGAATGGCTGGACACCTGTGGCATACGCTTGGAAGAAGGAGACTTTCGTGTTGCTGGACAGGACCCGAACAGTCAGCCGTGAGTTCCTCCTCTGGAGCTTGCTCGGTTTCCCATGCGCGTAAAGAGCCGGGAATAGTCGTGCTCACCTAGGAACCTCGCGGTATTTCCTGCCCACACGTCCGGCCTGAAAGTAGGGATCAACCCAGGCAATTTTCCCACCAAGCTGCCTCTCGAGGAGATTTCCAACCACGGCCAGACCGGCAGGACCAGCTCCCACAACAACCGCAGCACATTTCTGGGGCGGATTCATTATTGTTGAACGATTTGGAGATATAGATGCAGAGAGCTCGTAAATGAATTTTATGGGACAACTCTGGAATTACCGCATGAAGATATCTCAATAGAGGTATTGAAGAATCATAGGAAGGGTGCGAACTAGTAGGGAATCTCCCAGATGGTCAGAATCAGAAACCGGCGTTTTTCTCGGTGAAAACAGCTATCAAGCGTCGTGACACCTTCTCCTACGGAAAGAGGGGGAGCCCGATGATCATATACATCGGGAAACGGCGAGCAAAGGGACGCAGGATGCCAACAGCGAACAATAAAACCACACTGCAGACGCTTGGCAGGATTCACTGTTTACCGCTTGTCCAGTCCATTGATATGGGGATGAGCAACAAAGCGGCTTGAGAGCCCGAAATCAGGCATCTCGGACGATAGAACACATGGTGCGGACGTAATCAACCGTCCAGAGAGACGGATCATGCGGTGATAACAATCCCAAAGGGACTAGGATACTCCATTCCCAACTCCCTGTCTCATAGACTCAAGATGTCGAAAGCCCGGGCATATATTAGCAATCGGCGACTCAAACTGACTGCTGAGTGGTTGAACTTTGATGGTTGAGCAACTGATGCACCAGGCCCCACTTTGACCTTGTGAGTGAATCGCCGACCGAGACGCTTTCCGTCGGCTCAGTCAAGAGAGAATGTCATGAGGGGGAGGTGTGCTCGTCGTCGCCCTTCATCAAGGGGACAACGAGGGATCCCATGCGGTTCATGACTGTCACCAATTATGACCGTCACAGGTTAAACGGACATTAATCTCATTCACGATGGAAAAGGAACAGCTCCCAAAGGTGCTGGTAGCAATGGAGGATGGAGAGTCCTTATATTCAAGCACTCGAGAACCATGCACGGGCGGTCTTGGCGCGATTGCGTGATTTCGACTAGAATGAGGTTATTGCCGTTTGCCTGATTGGGAAGGTTGCTGCTATCTCATGCGTTTGCAGAAGAATGCGAAGTTGAGGTCAAAGGGTCTGTATATTGCGCAAGGGTTAGGGTCACTACCGTCGACCAGCTAGCTACCTTAAGATTTGATCAAGTATCTCCTCGTTTTTGCATCATTTCGCCGATACTCAACATTAACATGTGCTGTTGGATCGCTGTTATTATCTCTTTGGAAGAGCTGCTTGGGCTACGACTATTGTAAGGCACGGAGGGCTCGTGACAAGGTCTCGATTTGAACAGCGAAAATTAGAAGATTATACATTCGCTATTCCATGATTACACGGCCCAGAATACCCGAACAGATATAAATTCGACATGGTTTGACCATCCTGGAAATCGGGCTCGTCCCCAGACAGCAATGGAGTCTCCCACGCCCAAGGTCCGGACTACATTTCCATCCAGAGTCGCCCTACCACGACCTTGCGAACGCTCAATATCTTCTGCGTCAGCAGATTCAGCTTGGATGTTGTCAAGGTAGTGCCAAGTGATTGTATATTCTTGTGTCTGTGATACTGCGGTCTTATTCATCTGAAGTTTGCCGGGGCCTGGCAAGAAATGTGAGTGCTGGGGACCGATCGGTTCCTGACGCTCCTCTTGGCCAGCGGGCTGGGCGGACGCTTGCGAATCTGTTTGGTTGCTGCCATTTTGAGGGATCGCGTGTATGATCTCGACATCGAACCAGGTATATGACCCATCGTAGGGGCTTTCACCTCTAGGACCGCCACCCCAGCCTTGGTCATGAGACAAGATTGTGAAAACAATCTTGCGACAGGGATGTATGGTCTGATGAGGAAGTGAATTTGGGGCTCCGCTTCCCAGTGTCTATCGATAGGTCATAAGATATCAGTCTCCATAATAGATTCAAGAAATGGAGGCATTGAAGGCTTGATAATCGCCAGCCGTAGTCAAGGCAAGCTCTGCAACATACCGCCTCATCATAACACAACGGTGCCGTTCGTAGCAGCTCTCGGTCATGATCCTGTCTGATAATCGTCCTTGTGTCCATCCTAGCCTCGATTGAGGGCCAGTATTCGGCAGCCTCCATAATCATGTCCACAATCTCCATTGGCAACCCTTCCGAGATGACCTTCCATCTCAAAATATGCCGAACCTTGAACACATCAAATAAACCGGGATAGAAAATATCTGAGGCTGTGTCTTGCGCTGGCTCGCTCGAAGAAGGGTTTGTATCGTCCGAGTCATTAAACGGCGGTTGACGAGGGGAGCGAAAGCGGCGCATAATGGACGGAAACATCATATGAAACTGAAATCAATGTCGTAAAGCGCGAGGGTATCTTTAGAGATTTTGACAGCCCAGGCATCAATGATAAAGATGTTATCCTGTGCTCCGTCGAATAACACTGCTCATCGATCAAGGTCAACGCTGGCTGAGATCCCGGTGATTACAGATTTGGATAAAGATAGACAGGTCTCATAGACGTCTCCCCATTGCAATTTTGCCTATATTGTGCCTCAAAGCCGAAGTCAGAATTGTTGCCGTTTCCCCACGTCGAGGCGGGGAGTCCAGCGGACTGTGGGTTAACTCAGATAACTGATGCCTATCAGTGTCAGATTGTCTGGCCAGTGGCTTAGAAGCACGAACAATGGCCACAGGCTAGAAGTATGATGCGACGATGTTTAAGAATATTAATGAAGCATTCAAGAAGGTAACTCGACGACCTGAATGGGATATATGTGTTTGGCTGATAAGAAATAGATAGTGTATCTGATGACGTAAATGTTGTCAATGAGTTCTTTTACAACGCCATCCGTGTACTTCTATTGGGCGGTCCCCCAATATCTATACTGACTGGAAAACAGCGCTGTGATGACTTTGAAATAATGCCATTTCAGATTCAGGAAGATGATCCTCTCAATGTGATGAGGACATAGTTACGCTTCGTTGTAAGCAGTGCCTTGAACAGACCAGATGGAAGAAAAATTATACATGTAAAGAAGAAAAGGTCTATTTTGCCATCTTTCCTTTCCTGCCTCCGGCAGCCTGGTAGGCTGCAGCTCGCTTGGCGCTCCGATTCTTCGGCTTGCCTTTGGAGCCACGGCTCTTGGTCTTAATTTTGATGCGCGATGATCCCCCCTCTGTTGCTCGATGACCTTCAAACACCACCGAGTTCCCCGATATAGACTTTCTCCCTTCGGACTTCATCTTAGCCGCGCCGGCTCTACCAAAGAGCTTACCTGCACGACCTTGAAGCGTCGAGAAGCCCTCGCCAAGCGCTTTGCCATGAGAACCAGTCTCTGGGCCATCACGCTTCTTGGGGAGCTTCTTGGCCCGCGTCACCCGGAGTTTCCGCGGCAGCATGGGAGGAAACTTCTTCCCGTCCAGCAAAAGTGCCTCCTCCACACAGACCTGATCATAGAACTGTACATAAGCAAAGCCTTTGCCCACGCGGGTAGTACGGTCACGGACCACTCGGACAGACTCGACATTGCCCTTGGTCGAGTTCCGTTCTTTAGAGCCCTTGGTATGAGCGTTGAATGTGCGCCACAAACCTTCCTCAACGTCCGCGGGCCCCGACTTCTTCTTTTTCTTCGTCTCGCCTTCTTCCGGGTCGGTCTCGTTGTCCACGAAGTCAAGGTTGCCAACGAAGACACACCGCTTGTGGTCGATCTGGGAGGGATGCGCAACGCTGTCGACACGAAGGTGTCGGTCTAAAACAACAGTTCCATTCAAGGCCGCAGGTGCCTTCCGCTCTGCCTGCACCGTACTGTAAACAGCGTATGCATTGGTGCTTGGTGTAGTGTCATCCAATATCTCACGTCTAGCAAAGGCAGCTCGCTTGGGGACTTTCCCGCCGCTAGCGAAGGCCACGGAACGAAACCGAATCGATTCGACTTTGTGAGGCCCTGTAGATTCCGGAAGAGTGGAAAGAAAGGATGCCAGATGCTTCAATAGGGTCTTCTTCGCCGATTTGGACTTGATGGCCTGGCTCGAGACGTTGCCGAGGAACACGGTTCGGTTACTCCTTTCGACTTCCTTGGGCTCCGGATCACCGCTCTGAGTCTCGTGCTTGGGGACTGTAATTTCCTCCTCTCCCTCCGAACTTTCCTCATCCTCGTCTTCAGACTTGTCCGACACAGAATCATGGTCATCTCCTTCCTCCTCAACTTTCTGCCTCTTTGCCTTCTCGGCGCGACGCTTTTCCTGTTCCTTTAGCTCCTCCTTTGCTATACGCCGCATATAAGTCTCTTCGAGATCTTCCGCAGCGGCCCTTTTCCGTTTCTTGCTCGAAGTGGCCTGGGTATCCACGGCCGGCGTACTCTCAGCATCACTGGCGACTTCCGAAACGTCCTGCATATCTTCATCTTCGCTTTCCGGGTCCTCCTCAAGCTCGGAAATTTCTTCATCATCTTCTTCCTTTTCTACATCATCATCTGGCTCATTGTCCTTTCTCTGAGCGACAATCGGCTGCACAGGCGGAGCTTTCACTGGACCAGCCTGAATGATTCCGATCATGAGAGCGTTAGAAGAGCCTTATATTAGTCATGGATAAGTACATACACTTTTTTCGAACAATGAAGCCAATGTTGGGTCAATGGCGGCCTTTCCGCCCAAAAAGGGCAGAGTAACATCTGTCTTGCCTGGTTGCGAGACATTGTCCGACTGGGCCTTACTTTTCTTGCCCATCTTAAGTTAGAATGGGGGAGATCTCTGTCGTCCTTATAAAATGTGGTCAGGCGATGAGGAAGATCAAAATCAGTGGTTGAGTTTCCCACTACCAAAGCAATTACGCTTCTGTCTGGCTTTCTTCGTTGCGTTTCCTAATTTTTTCAGCCTCGAAAGGAAAAAATATTTTGGCGACGGGAGATGGATAAGATCACGTGCTTTATCGTATCAGCAAAGCCGAAAAGAGAGTCGCAGCGTCCACAGACTTCATACAGCTGGGCTATTTGCTCTGTTATTTTTATGAGAGATTCTTACGCGCGCATATCAGTAGACAGTAATCCTGTTACTGACAGAAAACGTCAAGGACTTCTTCAAATCCAGCACCGTGGTTGTCATGAAGAAGTGCCGCAACGGGATCAACAGACGGGGCACGGGTTGATATTATCCGCAATTAGCGGCAATGATATCACTGACATTGGGACCTCTTCATGACAAGCTGCTAACAACAACATTGCGACTGTTCAATAGTGGGCGCAGTAGCCAGGAGTACACATTGCTGAGAGTGATTTATTTCCAGATATTCTGAAAATGCATTTCGTAAGAGGCGATGTCTTATCAGATGAAGTAACTCAAATCTGAGATGTAAACTAAGGACATGTCACATGATGTGTAATCATCGATACCAGGGCGGTCAGTAACCCAGCGTCCACCACCAACCTGTTCGGAGTCTGGTCAGCATCGGAATAAAATACGGCAGAATACAATTACGCTCGGAATACTGCGACGAGTCTCAGCAGAGCAAAAGAGGTAGATTATTGCTGTCGCTCTTGGGGCTCCCTCCTCCACCTTTCTCACTACTGTCCGCTCCCAAGCAAATCAGTGGGTTCTGGAGCACCAGTGAATTTCTATCTCTGTCTGATCAATCATTTCCAGCTCATTGAGTTCTCTATTTACCCTCTCGATATCCTTCAACCGCGATTTCGAACCAATTTCCGCTCGTCCATGCCGCCTTTTCTCTTGCGCTGCAGTGTCGTATCGCCCGCTTCTTGAAGTCCACCACCTCCACCCTCTCCTCCTTCTCCTCGTCCTCCATCTTCCCACGCACAGTGCCTCTTGTGTAGGCCCCAGGTGATATCCGCTTCTGTTGGACTATACAAACGACCGTCAGCCTGATTTATTTTGGTTCTGTGTTTCTGCGGCTTGCCCCCCGTGAACGCAGTGGCTAAGGGAATCGCTGCTCGGTCGCGGGCAGCTGTGCTCAGTGCTCCTTTCACCGTTGGCGCATTGTTGATTGGTACGTTTTTTTGTGGCTTAAGGCATATGAGACGATAGGTTCTGCTCTATTCAATGAAGCTACTGCTTCGGTCCCTGCGAGAACGTTTCCCTCTTGCTCTGTTGAGACGGCGCAGTTGCCAGAGACTGCTGGTGATCTCGGGGTGTGTCCCGGGTAGCAGAACGATCAAATCTCCGCACCGCCTTCATCTGCAGACAAGGAACAGCCCAAAACAAACTGTTTTCAATGACGGATCTCCATTCTTATTATGTGCATTTATGTGTCGATTCACATTTTTGAGGTTCTAGCTGACCTTTATACTCAGTTTCTCAGTTTCCAAACCACTTACTTCCCACTGACTGCCCGAGACCACATTCCCGCTAGCCAACCTTAGTATTCGGTTTCCCCAGACCATTCAGAGAGGCCCATTCAGCCGATCTCCATACTTTCTTTTCCTGGGTTGTTGTGCTCGTGCTGCGCCATTGCCTATGGAGGTGGCCGCGAGTCGAGAATCAGCTCCTGTTGGTCCGCCAACAGGGCCTGATGCCACAATCACCAATGGCGACCAAGATCTTCTACTGGATGATTCGCTCATGGACGATGGACGTTCAAGTAGTCTGAGCGACATTGACGATGTCTTGGATAATGAACCCTCGGACTACGAAGAGTCGCCCAAGCCCGAGAAGTTGGCACCAGAGAATGACTCTGAAGCTGAGACAGAGCGCATCGAAGATTCCCCGAATCATTTTCGCAGAACCAACATTGTCGTGAGCAGCTATGGCCCTAGCCCCAGCAAATTGGCCCAATCGACGACGTACGATGACGCCGAGGACGGGGACGACCAAGTTGAGGATTCACCGAGCAAGCCTCGCTCTAAGCCCAACGGAATCCTTGAATCCGCCGAAGAGATACTTGGTTTGGAAGACTCTACATTATCAGAAGGTACCGGAAAGAAGCGCAAACGACCCGAGTCTGGCGCGGATCTGGAAGGCGAGACGGGTGACGAAGACGAACCGCCTCAGAAGCGCCGCGGGTCGGTGAAGAGTGAATTGAGCGATCCTCCGGCAGACGACAGTGCGCTGTCTCCGGAGCCGATTGAAGAAGTGATCAAAGCAAACGAGGAAGATACCCCGGCCGATGACCTTCCCGAGTCTGATCTACCCACGGCGCCCGCGAAAAACAGAAAAGGCAAGAAGGGAAAGCGAAAAGGGCGGAAAACACGCGATGCGGCTGATGATGACATGGATAGTGGTGCCCTCGAGACGGGCGCGGAAGGTCCCGCGGATGATGGCGATGACGAAAATATTGAACGTGGAGAGGACGCCGACGATGGTGAAGCAGC